CTTCAGAGACTGGACTATAGATAAGTCGGTAGATTAGTCTTTAGATTAATCTGAACTATGAAAACTCTACAGTCTGGTCTAGAGAATAATCCACAGTCTGGTCTATAGAATAATCTAAAGTCTGGACTGTAGAATATAGACTGGACTATAGAATTGTCTATAGCCTGGACTATAGAATAGTCTATAGTCTGGACTTCAGAATAATCCATATTCTGGACTATAGAATAGTCTATAGCCTGGACTATAGAATAGTCTAAAGTCTGGACTATAGAATAGTCTAAAGTCTGGACTACATATAGAAAATAGTCTGGACTATAGTATAGTCTATAGTGTGGACTATAGAATAGTCTATAGTCTGGATTATAGAATATACTATAGTCTGGACTATAAAATACACTATAGTCTGGACTATAGAATAGACTATAGTCTGCACTATAGAATAGACTATAGTCTGCACTATAGAATAGACTATAGTCTGCACTATAGAATAGACTATAGTCTGCACTATAGAATAGACTATAGTCTGCACTATAGAATAGATTATAGTCTATTCTATAGAATAGACTACAGTCTGGACTATAGAATAGACTACAGCCTGGACTATAGAATAGACTATAGTCTGGACTATAGAATATACTATAGTCTGGACTATAGAATATACTATAGTCTGGACTATAGAATAGACTATAGTCTGGACTATAGAATATACTATAGTCTGGACTATAGAATATACTATAGTCTGGACTATAGAATAGACTATAGTCTGGACTATAGAATAGACTATAGTCTGGACTATAGAATAGACTATAGTCTGGACTATAGAATAGACTATAGTCTGGACTATAGAATAGACTATAGTGTGGACTATAGTATAGTCTATAGTGTGGACTATAGAATAGTCTATAGTCTGGATTATAGAATATGCTATAGTCTGGACTATAGAATAGACTATAGTCTGGACTATAGAATAGACTATAGTCTGCACTATAGAATAGACTATAGTCTGCACTATAGAATAGACTATAGTCTGCACTATAGAATAGACTATAGTCTGCACTATAGAATAGACTATAGTCTGCACTATAGAATAGATTATAGTCTATTCTATAGAATAGACTACAGTCTGGACTATAGAATAGACTACAGCCTGGACTATAGAATAGACTATAGTCTGGACTATAGAATATACTATAGTCTGGACTATAGAATATACTATAGTCTGGACTATAGAATAGACTATAGTCTGGACTATAGAATATACTATAGTCTGGACTATAGAATATACTATAGTCTGGACTATAGAATAGACTATAGTCTGGACTATAGAATAGACTATAGTCTGGACTATAGAATAGACTATAGTCTGGACTATAGAATAGACTATAGTCTGGACTATAGAATAGACTATAGTCTGGACTATAGAATAGATTACAGTCTGCACTATAGAATAGACTATAGTCTGGACTATAGAATAGACTATTGTCTGGACTATAGAATAGACTATTGTCTGGACTATAGAATAGACTATAGTCTGGACTATAGAATAGACTATAGTCTGGACTATAGAATAGACTATAGTCTGGACTATAGAATATACTATAGTCTGGACTATGGAATAGACTATAGTCTGGACTATAGAATAGACTATAGTCTGGACTATAGAATAGACTATAGTCCGGACTATAGAATAGACTATAGTCTGGACTATAGAATAGACTATAGAATAGACTATGGTCTGGACAATAGAATTGACTATAGTCTGGACTGTAGAATAGACTATAGCCTGGACTATAGAATAGACTATAGTCTGGACTATAGAATAGACTATAGTCTGGACTACAGAATAGACTATAATCTGGACTACAGAATAGACTATAGCCTGGACTATAGAATAGACTATAGTCTGGACTATAGAATAGACTATAGTTTCGACTATAGAATAGACTATAGTCTGGACTTTAGAATATAATATAGTCTGGACTATACAATAGACTATAGTCTGGACTATAGAATAGTCTATAGGAATACAGAAAAATCTGGACTTTAGAATAATCTATGGTCTTGACTATATAGAAATCTATAATCTGGATTATAGATATACATATATGTTTAACCGAATTCGTCAGTAATAATTCGTACCGAATCCAAAAAAAATCGGTAAAACCCAAAATAAAAAATATATCTGTTGATACAAAGAAAAATTGCATGTTTTTCATATTTTTTTGTTGTTTTGTAAAATCTCTTTAAGATTTAAATTCAATAAATAATTGAAATTTATGTTAAATTTGTATAATTTTGTAGCTGTTATTTTGTAGTTGTTGCCATTTTGCGCAATAACCCAAAGCAAATGCAAAATGAGCCAAGAAATGTTCAAAAAAAAAAAAAAAAAAAAAAAACTAACAAACTGCAACAATATTAGCACATCATTGGTGTGGGTCAGGTTTATGTTTAGATACTACCACGGGGATCACTAAAGCAGTATATAGTGTTATGATTATATGAGATCAACCTACGCCACCTTTACTAAAGCGTGTGATTTTTATTAGACTTTTTTACTTTCCAATTTTCTATGCTGGCAAGGTGGCGCGGTTTATAATATAAATATTTCTTTTTTTTTCTCAATTTTTTTTTGATATTTAGTTTTTCGTTTTAAAATTCATTGTTAAAAAGAAAATAGTTAGACAGTTGTTGTTGTTGCTGTTGTCGCTGGCTTGAACACAATGAATATAAAAATTTTGTTGTTTAAAAAGCGAAACCGCCGCCGCCGCTGTTGCTGCTGACACACCAACGCACTTTTCTTAAAGGCAGATCCTTGGAAAAACATTTTTCATTGAGTGAAATTGTATTGAAAATAATTATGTTGTGTTTTGACATGGCCTTTATGTAGGTTGAAAATAAATACAACAACTACACTGATGACGACTGACACTAGCGCACGGACTGGCGCTGTAGGATTGTTTATGACAATTATGCCTTCTGGTTAAATCTCCCAACTTACAACAACTGCCAACTAATAATAGTTGATTCGCTCTCCAACAAACTCCAACGTATTTATCCAATAATTTATTAGTTGGCAAAATTATGCAAACAATGTTTAACAATATTGCTCGCAAATAAATACAAAATACATATATTCAAGAAAAAATACAAAAAAAACTAAACATATCCATTGAATATAAAAATCAATTATTTTGTCGCAAACTTAAGCATCAATGATTTTTCAAAAGGAGAAAGGAAAATCTAGTTATAAATTATATGTTTTTTTTTTAATAGAAATATGAACTAGTTGTTAGAAGATTTGTGAAATGTGAAATAAACCTAAAAGTTGGGAGGGATTTAGTTGATTTAATAAAAATTTTTATAACGTTTTTATTTGGTTTGATAAGAATTTTATGAAATTTTGGGATTATTTTGATGCTATACAAAGAAAAAAACGCCTTCTAATTGACTGTGTGGATGGCGTCTATGTCAGTAAATAATATATTATTCTTAGAAATAATCAGATTATCACTCACCAGACTGTAGGCGCGTTGTCCTGATGATATTATAATCCTTAGTCTAGCTAGGCTATATACTCTAGTTAGATCCATACTCTGGCAAGACTCTAGTCTTTTATATGATTAGACTTTATTCTCTACTCTGGTCATACTATAGTCTTTACTTTCGCTAGATTGCAGTCTATATTGTGCCCAAATTATAGTCTTCATACTGGGATGACTACAGTTTTAACTCTGGCAAGACTAGAGCCTTTACTTTGCTCAGACTGTAGTCTTTCCTTTGGGGAGACTATTGCATTTACTATGGCCAGACTATAGTCTTTACTCTAGCTAGACTATAGTCTTTACTCTGGCCTGACTAAAGTCTTTACTTTGGAGAGACTTTATTTTGGCCTAATAATAGTCCTTAATAGAAAGAGGATATAGTCTTTATACTGGAAGGACTATAGTATAGCAAGAGTAAAGCCTATAGTCTGTCTGTTCACTCTGGCATGACTATAGTCTCTTTATGCAGAGTGGATTACAAACTATTATCTGGCCTGATTATAGCCTTTACTTTGGAGAGACCATAGCCTCTGCTCTAATCAGACAATAGTCTCTACTCTCTGGCCAGATTATAGTCATTACGCCGTCTAGGCTATAGTCTTTACCATGTCTAGACTATAATATTTACATCGACCAGAAAATACCCTTAACTTTGTGGTGACTATTTTCTTTACCATGATCAGACTATATATTGTTTTTACTGTAGCCAGATTATAGTTTTTACACTTTACAAAAATAGTCATTTCATTGACCAGAATATAGTCCTTACTTTGTAGGGACCATTGTCATTACTACGGCTAGACTATAATCTTTACATTACCAGACTATATTCTTCACTATGGCAAAGTTATAGGCTACCCTCTAACCGGACTATATTCTCGACTCTAATCAAACTGTACTTTCTAATATGGCTAGACTATACTCTCTACTTTGGTCAGATTATAGTCTGTGCTCTAGTCAGACTATAGCTGATGTTAGAGTGCCTGCTACAAGCAATGCGAAACAATAGATGACTAATTATTAAAATGATGAAATATTGAAAAAAAGAATCGTTAAACTTTTGGACTTGATTAACAAATGCCTAATGGTGACCAAGTTCACAATATTAATCGGGTGCATAATGATAAAATTTATTTTGTTGATAAAAATTTTTCTAAAATCGCACTTTTGTTAATGAACTTTATACTATTTGTTCAGTACATCGCATTTTATGTATTTTTGTAGCATTAAATTGTGAATAATAAAATATTATTTAAAAATTTTTAATAACAGGTATTTAACCTCTTAAATCATTCAAAATTCAAATGAAAATTTGAATTTGAAATGTTGGATATTATAGTATATTATCATATGCGTGATAATCACGCTGAATGCAAGTTATTTCGTCACGATAACTAGAAATGATTAAAATTTATAAAAATACTTAACACATTAAAATCCTAAGAAATATTTTAAAGAATTTCTGTTTAATTTCTAAACAAATAACAAATATTTAACTATAAAATCACTGCTATTATAATTTGCCAAGTAATTAAAAAATGTTATTTTTATAGTATCACAGCTTAGTATAGCAATCGTCAGCATGTTATCGCTAAAATGAAATGACTATCATCATGCTTAAACAACTAATCTATCTCACAGTTGGTCATAAACTTACCCATTTGCCATATCAGCATTGTCATCTTGTACGTGTTGCTGTATTATTGTACCCCTTTCAGCTGTCTCTTCCACGTCAGGCACTTGTTGTGGTGAATTTTGTTCAATTGGCTCCTCAATTGATGAATGAATTTCATTATTTGCTTTAACATTTACGGAATCTATATCAATTGTATTGAATAGATTTTTATTTTCTACACTATTACTATTATCATTATTATTATTAACATCGTCATCATCATTTAAAACACTATCACTAGACTTTTTGTTTATTTCATCATCATTTGTTTCCGAATGTTTAAAACTATTTTCTTCAGCTGGTGAAGATACTATGTTTACTTCTACCGGTGAGGGTTCAGAAGTTATAGGGATATCAATGTTATCACGTTTTAATGTGGTGGTTTGTTGTTCTAATATTAATTTTTTCACCTTTTTATAATTGGGTAAAATTTTATCATTTTTGTCCACATTTAGAGAATTTTTATCATGTTTTATTTCAACACCTGCTGCATTTTGCTGGCCGGTTTCTTCATATATTGACGTTTTTGCAGAGGCTTCTGCTGATGACGTTTCCAAATTTAGAGGGGTAGGATTGTGGATATTGGACGGCCCGGAGGCGTCATTTAGGTGTTTTGTTACATATTTTGCATTCTCGGAGGCAACAACATAAAACAGGAAGCAACTGCAAAACAAGAAATACATAGTAAAATATACCAACAACAACAGAATATATTGGCAATTAATGAAAGAGTTTAATGAAGAGAAAGAGAGAAATAGACTAAAAAACACAGAGATGGAAAATTACATTTTTATATTGTGACAAATATAGCAAATGAACCGACTTTTTGCTATTCTGTCGGCTAGTCCTAAAAAGTCAAAATTTTTACAAAATGAATTTTTGGTTTGGTAATAAATATAGCAAGCTTTGGTTCTATTAAGCGATTTTTTGCTCAAAAGTCAAAGTCTGCTGCTTTTCCTGTTAGAAAAAATTCAGTAATCGAAATAAGTCGATAAATATCCTTTTCATAAATTGCTAAAGTCAGAATGTCGACTTTTTGTTTCAACTTAGTTAACATAGAGTTTTATATGTTGTCTTTTGCAATATTTAGAAGAAAAAAGTCAACATTAGAAAAACCGGAAAAAAGTTCCAAAAGTCGGAAAAAAACCGAAATAAATTTAAAAAAGTCGGAAAGGACAAAAAAAGTTTAAAAAATTATAAAAAGTCGAAAAAATAAAACAGCAAATAAAAATCTTATCGAATCGAAAAAATCGTCTAAATTTCGAAGAGAATGGAAGAAAAATCGAATTTTCAAAAATCACAAAGTAGAAAAGTTGACCTATTCTTTCAACCATACAATACTAGTAAAAATTCGAAAAAAGTACATAACTAACACAATTCCATCCCTGTGCACCAACAACATTATTTTTGCATAGTCTGCTTTTTTGTTGTTGTTCTTTTTCTTCCAAATTTTCTTCATTATCATCATCGTAGACAATTACCTCGAAATTAATGTTATAAACAGCAAACTCCAATGAGTCAAATGTAAATTTAAACGCATTTTATTTCAAGAAAAAAACTATAAACTTTGCACACTCTATTAAACCGACAACATTTACTAATTAAATATTTTTATTTTTGCAATTATTTTTTTTTTCTTTCAGCTCATTGCAAATTTTTTTCTCATACACTTTTTGGCACTTTTTTTTACTCTCTCACTCTTGTTGGCATTTCTGCTTTCACTTCATATTTCTTTTCTTGTATTACGAATGGAAAAATCACTTATTTTCTTTGTTATTTTTTACATTTCTTTAGGCACATTAATTGATTTGGTTAAAGCAAAATATTTTAAATACTATTTCTTAAGATTTTTTATATTATTTTCGATTTTTTTTTGTAGCAATTTATGTGTGGAGTAATATGAACGTGTTAGATTTCCTCGGTCGCGCAAAAACAACTAAATGAAAGAAAAAAAATTCTCTAAAAAAATATAAATGTCAAAAATTCTGACAATTACAGAGAGTAAACTGACGTGTATTTTAAATGGTAAACAAAAATACAAGAAAGCAAACAGTGTTGATAAGCGTATGTCTTGAATGGTGGAAAATAAGTGAAAAGAAAACGGAAAAAATCTATTTTTTATGTAAATAATAAATTTTTTTTCATATAAACAATTAAGATACAAATTTTTAAAATATTTAGTTACATAAGAAATAATGTTTAATTTTATTTAAAAAAAATATTTGTCAAAGTGCCGTATATTTTTTTCACTTTCCAGCACTATGAGTTGTGTTTCATAAGTATACAATTGGCGCTATACTGCTCACTAAACACATTCCCTTAAACAAAACAGTTGTTTTGCTTAGTTTTTTTTCGGAGTAATTTCGCAAATTTTCACAAATTTTTTAAAAATACGTTTAAAAGTAACGTTAACGCTATATAAGTTATGTCCGAGAAACGTAGCTTGATACATTGGTTTCGCAAAGGCTTGCGGGTGCATGATAATCCCGCTTTAAAGACAGTTTTTGACAAGGCTCAACAGCAGCCGGAAAAATATTGTGTGCGTCCAATATTTATACTAGATCCTGGTATAATAGAGTGGTTAAGGGTAGGAGCCAATCGCTGGCGTTTCCTGCAACAATCTCTGGAAGATTTACATCAACAGCTAACGGCTTTAAACTCCCGACTTTATGTTGTTAGAGGAAATCCTAAGAATGTCTTTCCTCGCCTTTTTGACGAATGGCAGACAGAGCTTTTGACATTTGAGGAAGATATAGAACCTTATAGTCTTAAACGCGATAAAGAAATTCAAGAATTGGCTATAAAACTTAAGGTAAAAGTGTCTACCTACTGTTCCCATACCGTGTACAATCCTCACGTAGTCATACAAAAGAATCAGGGCAAAGCTCCCTTAACATATCAGAAATTTTTGTCCCTGGTGGAAAAAATAAAAGTGCCTTTACCAGAGGATAAGCCAATAAAATTAAAATGTTCCTTGCCTGCAAAGGATTCCTGGGAGCTTGAAGATGAAAATTGTTATGAGGTGCCTACTTTAAAGGATTTAGTAAAGAAGCCTGAAGATTTAGGTCCTTTAAAGTTTCCTGGAGGTTTGGTATTTTAAACTTCTAAATAATAATTTTATTAAATCTGCTTTTCATTTACAGGCGAAACTGAGGCCTTAAAACGTTTAACCGCCTCTTTGGCTGATGAATCCTGGGTGGCTGCATTTGAGAAACCTAAAACTCACCCAAATTCCTTAGAGCCCAGCACTACGGTATTAAGTCCTTATTTAAAATTTGGCTGTTTAAGTTCTAGACTATTCTATCAGCAATTAAAGGAAATTCTAAAACGTCAACCTAAACATTCCAAACCACCCGTTTCTCTAATGGGCCAGTTAATGTGGCGTGAATTTTACTACACTGCTGCCGCGTATGAGCCAAATTTTGATCGTATGATGGGCAATTCCTTTTGTCTACAAATACCCTGGCAAACTAATGATAAACATTTGGAGGCTTGGTCTTATGCGCGCACTGGTTATCCCTTCATAGATGCCATTATGCGTCAATTGAGGCAAGAAGGTTGGATTCATCATTTAGCCCGACATGCTGTGGCCTGTTTTCTGACACGCGGTGATCTTTGGATCTCTTGGGAAGAGGGCCAAAAGGTATTCGAAGAACTTTTACTCGATCAAGATTGGGCTCTTAATGCCGGCAATTGGATGTGGCTTTCAGCTTCTGCTTTCTTTCATCAATATTTTCGAGTTTATAGCCCCGTGGCATTTGGCAAGAAAACTGATCCCACCGGTTCATACATACGTAAATATGTACCTGAGTTGGCTAAATATCCAGCCGGGGCAATTTATGAACCTTGGAAGGTTTCCCTGGCGGATCAGCGTAAATATGGTTGTGTTTTAGGTACTGACTATCCACATCGTATTGTTAATCATGATATTGTACACAAAGAAAATATCAAACGTATGACTGCAGCCTACAAAGTGAATCGAGAAGTTAAAACGGGCAAACAGGAAGATGATGAAAATAGTGAGGAGCTAGTGGGTAAAAGAAAATCTAATAAAACAAGCTCAAGTTCATCGGCGGCTAAGAAAAGAAAGAAAAATTAAGGTAAATATTTTATATTTCGAATATTACATATTTTTTTTATATATCAGGGCTAATGGGTCATATATAGTTAACAACGTTTTTTTTCAAATTTTTTAAAGTATTTTTCTTGTTCTTTTTGAGTATTTTTTATATTTATATTATTAATTGAATAATAATAATTTCGAGACGCTAGTATTTTTAAAGATGTTAAAATTTCACATCAAATATTTAATTATACGTTATTTTATTCCCGTGCTCGTCCGTGTTGCAAGTTTTTACAATAAGTCGTTCCCGAACTAAAATTTCAATGCATTTTGGTGTTATTTTGATTACTAACACCTGCAAAACATTGATATTTTAGTACGGGAACGACTTATTATAAAAACTTGCAATGCAGACCATTTATTTTAATTGTTTTTAATTTTTATAGAGTTTTATTAAAACTCGATTTTTTATGTTTAAATTTTAAAGTGTTTTTAGTGAAAAAGAAATACTATTGAGCTGTTTAGTTCATCCAGCATCCACATATTTTAAAACATCAATTCATTTTTGTTATCAATAAAAATATGTATATAAACCTAAGAAAAGTTGTTTTATTTCCACAAGTGATTTTAAGACACATGGATTTGACGCTGAAACCAATGGTTTTTGTTCATAATGTTATACTTGAAAGTTGTTCTAGGAATATATTCGTACGACCACAACGTTGATGAACTATGCGTGAATGGTAATCTCAAGGAAATACATCAATTCTAGACTGTGCAAAACCTGCAACTAATACCAGCGAAGTCGTCAACAACATTACCACCTGGACGAAGGAAAAATCTTTGGATCAGATTTGAGAGTCTATTTATATCCTCAGCTAAAGCCACAAATTGCGAAGTAAGGTCCTCAAAGCAGCAATTGGGTCCCTAGCCGGCAGCAATTTGAATAAAGATGGAGAAACCGTGTTGGCTACACATAAAACTATTCGCCGGTCAGTGATTAATTATAATGCTCCAAGGTGGTAATCTTCGCTCAGTAATATTCAGTGGAGAAACATTCAAAGCCGCCAAAACACTTTCCTAAGGATAGTCAAGAAACATAACATGTTGACTAAACAGTTTCTACTGGTATGTCACCGGAAGAGCTATCGCAACTTTATCATCACACATCGGAAAGGAAAACATAGTTCTGTGCAGGATCCCATAGATCAGTCCTCGAATACAGCAGATTCGAACAGTATTCATAGAAATTACTACTATTACGCGGTCGCAGGATACCGAATGAAAGTCGCTCCCGGTTACCTGGTTATTTCTTGATTTCTTGATTTCTTTTTTTTTTTTTTTTTGACTAGAAGATTATATGGCGGTGTACACAACACACAATTTGCCAGGTTATCCCACTAGCGTAGTTCAAAAACGCGAAATTAACAATCCCAGAAATTTATGAGATTTTGTAGAAACCGTTGGGTGTTAATAAACACCTACTTCCACAGAGTACTTCTGCAAAAGTGAGGGGTTGTGTTCTAAATAATTTGGAAAGAATTTATGATAATTTCATTATATGATTAAACTTAAGCGTACTTAAATCTAACTTAAAATTAAAAAACTATGAGGTTTACGACTACAAAAATGTAAAAAACAAGAATGTAATCTGATTTAAAATCAAAATTGAAAACAAACAAAAAAAAGAAAGATTTTTTCTTTTATTTAAAATAAAAATTCAAAGTTCAAAATAAGAATCAAAATTAAAATCAAAATTAAAATCAAAATTAAAATCAAAATTTAAATCAAAAATTAATATCAAAATAAAGTAATAAAAATAAAAAAAAAAAAACAAAAGTAGAAACAAAATTAAGATCAAATTCAATTTAATTCAAACACAAAACTACAATCTAAATTAAAGTAGTGTATCAATGTTACACTCTTTAATAAAATTAATTAAATCATGAAAATCCTCCTTTTGATAATTTTTGAGCAAATCAGAAAGACATATATACTTGTCAAAAACCTTATGCTTTCTACGAATGTCATAAAATCTTGCGCAGTAGAAAATGAGATGATTAGCATTCTCGACAACGTTACATGTGCCGCATAAGCTGGAGTCACTTACCCTTATAAGATTCAAAAATTTCTTGTCATACGCATGACCAGTTAGAAGACGATTAATAATCTTAACTTCACCAGGATCCAATGCAAATCCTCTATACCATGGCTTCAAGGAGATTGTCCGGTTAAAGGAAAAGTAAAAATTACCCTTGCTCTGAGAAATTTCAGAATAAGAGTGATTCCACTCATCCTGCAATTCATCACGAATCAATTTCAATGCCCACTTCACCGAGTAATCCACCTGAAGAGGAGCCCCACAATCAAGAGCCATCCTCGCTAGTTCATCAGCCCTTTCGTTAATGGGAATACCCATATGACTCGGCACCCAAATAAAATGAATAGCCCTCATACTAGAATCCGCAATAATCTGTATAATCTCCGAAACAATATAGTCCTCCCATTTACTATCCCTTAGAGAAATAATCGCATTCCTACTGTCCGTTAAAATAGCAACCCGTTCAAACCCATCTGTAGCCGCAGCAACTAAAGCCTCACGAATTGCAATCAGTTCAGCAGTCAGAGACGACAACCTCATATTACACCTAAACAAGAAAAAACGATCACTGTGTTCCAGAACAATAGCACATCCTACTGACGAATCAGAGAGGGAGCCATCCGTGGCCATAATCCTAAAGCCATTCTCCTTGTACTCCCTAAGAAGATGACCATAATACGCCCTAGTGCATTCCCTAGGAGCATTGTGCTTACAACCAAAAGGGTTGTCAAGCTTAAAAGTAACCTTTACAGATATACTGGATCTAACACATTTACCTAGCCTGTCAAAAATATGACTAAATTTAGAGAAGACAAATGAATAACTGTTATTCAGACCACGGTTCGTCGCAATCAATCTAAAAAGGGGCGGATTGTATACGAAAACTCGAAACAGCTCCTTGGCCGTTAAATATATAGCCCTCAAGTCCGGAGGGAGTTCACATGCCATAGCATAGATTATATGAACCGGTGTTGATGGTGTAAGACCAAGACATCTTCTAAGAGTCGAATTCTGAAAAGATCGAATCCTATTATCAATATAAGTTGGAGAATGAGCCGTGGTAGTCCTGGCATATTCAATTTTGCTCCTAATAAAACTCCTGTAAAATTTCAATGACACTTCAGGCATAAGACCACCCTTAATACTTGTCAGACATTTAAGCAGATTCACAGCAGAGTTACAATTCCCCAAGGCAAAATCATAATGCTCTTTAACTGATAAACTATTCTTTATCTTCCTTCCTAAAAAAGTCAAAGAAGACACTTGTTCAATTGTACATCCATTGACAGAGATCTGCACCGAGCGGCGACCTCCTTTTGCAAAGTATGCTACCTTTGTCTTACGAATATTAAAAGATAGATTGAGAGAGTGACAATCATTCCCAAATTCCAAAATCTTCCTAGACAAGTTCTCAACCGCGATTTCAAAGTCACGGTCAAAAGACAGTATCATAAAGTCGCCAGCAAACTGAAATACTAGGGTATTGTCATCCTCAATTCGATGGAGTGAGGCAGAATAAAGATTGAATAGAATAGGAGACAAACAACTACCCTGTGGAAGCCCATTAAATACTCTAATAGAACTTTTACCCAAGCAAAGATTTCTGTCCGATAAGAAATTAACAACCCAGTCAACAATATCAAGTGGAATACCATTCGCCACCATGATACCACATAGGGTGCCAACATTAACACAATCGTAAGCACTCGTTACATCTACCACACAGGCAACAACCTTGAAACCCTGGGATTTCAAAAGAGTAACTCTGAAGAGCAGCTCATTAATACAGATGGGTGCAGATAAATTTTTCCTATAAGCGAAAGATCTAATCGGGAGCAAACCATTTTCTTCTATAAAAGATGTAAGACGATTTTTAACTATCAGATTAATTGTCTTAAGAAAGACTGATATTAAGGCAATCGGGCGAAAATTTACACAGTTCTCCAAGTCCCTATTCTTTTTAGGAATAGGTACAATCTTTATACTCCTCCATGAGGACCTGATCTCACAATTGCAAAAATAGGCATTAAAAGCATGCACCAGGGCATCTCTGGATTGTGTCGATAGCGATTTCAAGATATCATAAGTAACACGATCACATCCGCCAGCCGATCTTGACCTTCTGCTGTCCAAAACATTATCCAATTCGAATCTAGTTAGAGGAGAAGAGGGACCAATCTGCATCCTAGAAAACTCAACCAGTGTGTTATCCGGAACCTGTGCCCTCAGATGCTCAAGATATGGTAAGTTATCACCTTCATCCCATAAATACCGTCGAGAATTTGTCGCATTCTTGACACTATTTACAAATCTCCAAGCACCACGTGTATTCGGCTGAGAGTTCAGCTCATCCAACCTACGATGAAAGGAGTCCGATTTAGCCTTCCTCACTGCATCCTTCCAATTCCGGAAAGCCGTAGAGGCTATATCCAGGGTCTCCGGTGTGGGGTATTTAGATGCCTTCTTTCTAGCCGCTACTTGCAACCGAAAAAGAGTAGATAATTCCGCATTCCACCAGTACTTAGGAGTATGATTACCGGAAACCCTATGAGTAGCAGAAGCAATACTGGACGAAAAAGTCTCCTCAATCACATCAAAATCAGAAGAAAGATCAATCCCAGATAAGTCCGACAATAATTTGCGCTTTGACAGAAAGGAAGTAGAGTTAGAGCTAGACATGTCAATTTCCATTATAATAGGAAAATGATGACTGCCATTCAGCCACATTGGGGTGGTTTTCCAGGAAATATCAAATTCACAATTTGAAAAGCTCAAATCTAGGACCGTTCCATTTGGATTATCAAGCTGACGAAGAAATGTAGATGAACCATCATTTAGACACGTGAAAACAGAGTCAGAAATTAACCTATGAACAAGGTTACCTCTAGGAGAATCGGAGTAATCTCCCCAATGAGTGGAGCGTGCATTGAAGTCACCAGCAATGATGACATTCGAAAATAAGCCAACAAAATCAAGTAGTCTCTGAAGTTCTGTAAAACAGACATTCAGAGGAAGACTGTTGGAACGATTTGGGGGGAGATAGACAGATACCAATACCAGATTGGTTCTAAGATTCAAGGTTCTCAGTATCAAAATATCCAGGTTAGTCCTAAAGGATACCCTAGAAACTCGTATACCTTTTCTGACAGCTATAGCACATCCACCATAACCATCATCCCTGAGTTTACAAAAAGTATCAAAATTCAAAAGTCTTCCCGAGGAGCTGGTATCATCAAAATTAAAAATTTCAGAGAAAAAGCATATATCAATAGAATTATTATTAATGTAAAACTCAATTGAGTTTTTGTTAGAAACTAAACTTTGCACATTGTACTGCAATAATTTCATTGCGTTAAACTGGTCAACGTAGTCTGAGATCGAGCATTGAGATCCCGATCAATATCCAAAAGTGCACTATCTACCTTCACCATAAAATCATCCAAAACTCTAACATACGAACTCTCGCATTTCTCAGAAAAATAAACCTTCATGACTCTCGTCATTTTAGAAATCAGCCTTTCAAACTGGGAAACTTTATCCAACTTCCGGTTAATTACCGGTATAGTCGGATCCGTGTTGACCGGTTGTAGTTGTGGAATGGGTTTATTCAGTTTAGGAGGAGGCCTAATCTTAACACCACGATTGAATTTTCTTCTCGACATTATCCTATTCACCTCACCATCCCTATCCAAAATATTTCCAACCAAGGGTTTCGTAACATTGTTACTAGCCAAAGGTGGGAAATTTTCTTCATATTCCTTAAAAACATCATATCCATTCACCGGAAAGGAATTTAGAACCTCCTTTCTCGATAGTCTCTTAAGCGTCATCACCTTCAGAATATCTATTTCCTGAGTCCATTTTGGACATTTAGATTTCTCACCAGAAGTATGATCCCTAGCACCACATAAAATGCACTTTGGGTCAGAACATGGTCCATCACATGGTCCTGTTCTACCACATTTAAGACAACGTTGCTTGGAATGACAGCCCCTTTCGGTGTGCCCAAGTCTACCACATTTCCTGCATTGGCGCAGCGGAGGATAGTAAACAGAAACCTCAACAAAAGCATGGTCCAAAATTACACTAGTAGGAATCTCACTGGAATTGAAATCAACCTTCACCGAAAACATCGGTAAACCAGATCCTCCTCCAGAGGGATCTCTACCACGAAAACGTTCAACAGATATAATAGGAACTGAAGAAATAATATTCTCCTTCATAAATTCATCAGTGTAAAAAAAGGGAATGCCCCTTATAACCCCATATGAATAAACAAAGGAGTTAGGAATAAATGCCCTATATCCAATGGACGAAAAATCATATAAAACAAAAAAGTTGGCTGCAGCAGCCGAGTCAAACTTAACTCTAAACAGAGTTTTCCCAATATGAGATATTAAGGAAATGCCCTCAAATTTCAAATCCTTTATACTCTCATAGAAGAAAAGTGAGTTACGCAAATTATCCTTCTTGCCTTTGGACCCCGACGTGTCACATAAGACAAGAAACTCACCAAAATGACCATCAGAATATAACATTGGTGGAGCTTTGTCAGACGACGCTACAGAAGTACCAGGGAGTTCCGAAGAGGACTCAACTGCAGGTGGATTACCCGACGTAATAGTCTCGCTTGAAATGTTGGGCAGCGAAACCGTCCTACCCTCCATACCAAGATCACCAACAATAGTCAAGGATGAATCTTCATCCTCAGAAGACATAGATTCCTGAGAGGACTCACCTGAATCCAGAAGATCACAAGCCGAAGATGCCTTCTTAATATTCGTATCCTCACTCACGTCATCACTCTTCCTCTTTAATGAGGAAGGCTGAAGGGTTGATTCCAGCTTATTCGCCTTTACAAATTCGTCAAATGTTGATCTCAGATCATCAGACGACGAGTGTGCTTTATCACCCATTTTCAAAGCAAAAAATTAAGTAGAAACTCTATACAATTATTCAAAAGGCAAGATTTTCAATTACTTTAATTTTCTATAACTTTATATTCTATAAAAATTAACGGTATTTCACATGGAAAAATTCCATACAATTTTTACGCTTAGCAACAGATTTATAAAGTTATTAATGTAAAAACACAACCGAACACTACAACGTTTGAAATGGAAGTGTTTCTTGATTTCTAATAAGAATACGAATTAAATAATGGGGTTACTACACGATGTCAAGAAGAATTCGAAAGTTCTTGATTTCGACTAAGAATACGAATGAAAATTTCATTCGTATTCATTATGAAATATATGTAAGAAGTCAACAAGAACTCGGAAGTAACTTATTTCGACTAAGAAGTATTCAAGGTTTCGTACAGTCGGCAATCTACAGAACAGGTATTGAATTATATTCGACCGTAACTTCGTTATTATGCTGATCGAGCGCCAATATCAGCTTTTCATAAAACTGTGACTTCTGAATCGGCTAATGAAGTCAGGAAGGATTCGAGAGGTAGAATATACTAAATATAATTTAATCGTTTGAAAGACACAAGAATACAAATGTAATATAATTAACTACGAGGAAGTCAAGAAGTATTCTTGACTTGAGTACAAATTTAATACATAGGTTAGACTACAAGAATTCAAGAAGAATTCGGGAGCTCTTGATCGCCACTTAAATACGAATGCAAAACTATATAAAACAAAGTTTAGACAAATTCGGCACACTTAATCTCGACAAATATATAGTAATCAGAAATATTATACGAAATCATAAAGAATTCGGGATCTCTACTAAGAATACGAATGTACGAATCGGCTAGACTGCCCGAAGTCAAGAAGTATTCTAGACTGAAATACAAAACGTTCGGATAGACAACAGGACGTCAGAAGAATTCGTCAGTTCTTAATCGCGATCGCAAATTATAACAATTAGCTAAACTACATAAAAAAAAATAAACAATATCATGGGTCCTTGTTCTTCGATCAATTCTACTCAATTACGTACATATGTGTTCCCATATCCTTATAAGAACTACTGAATACAGTTTTCACTTATCACGTATTTATTATCTATGATAAGTTTTCTATGCCATTTGTATCGTAATAGCCGGATTTTCCATGATCTTGTAAAAACTGGATATAAGTGATTACTGTTCAAAAACTGTTTCCAATCAAATGTGAAGTTTATTTACAATTAACACGAATTAACAGTTTTTATAGTAAAAATCTAAAATTCCAAAAATCTCTTCAGCTACTTGAAATATTATGTTCCCAAAACAATAATTAAGATGATGGTTTAAATTTTTCAAATTTACAAATACGTATATCATCAGCTAAGGTTTCCTCCTCACCCTCCTCCAAACGATAACGATAAGTAGCGGGAGTTAACATTTTCTTGGGTAACCATATCTTAATACCCTCAAATTCATAATAACCTGAACGTTCTTTTGGAGGTTCAGGATAATGTATTTCTTCCCTCAATTTCTCTACATATTCCATATCAACAGTACCACCCTTTTGCAATTCCTCATCTGACCAAGGATCAATATCCAATGGAGCTAGAACAGTTTTCTCACCAGATATTATTGCTTGTGTTTCTGCTGGTTCATAATTGTAATTCGAGGCAAATTCATCATCTTCACTCATCATTTTATCCGCATTAACATCTACAATTTCAAAATCATTAGATGATGAAGTTTTATTGCTATGTGAACGACTAGTTATTTGATTAGGGAGTATTGCATATTTTATGGTTTGATTTAGAGGTTGCAGAGATTTTACTAAATAATGCAAATGGGTCAACATTTGTTTTTGCTTTCTTTTAATTTAATTTAAATTTATATTCAACAATAATATTTTGTCAGTAGAACAACCACAACAAATATTTTTATAACACAAATATTTTTGACAAATTTTGTAAATGTTTTAATTTTGTCATTTGGCTTTTGTTGAGTTGTGTTTTCTTTTAAGATGTATTTAAAAGAATGTTTAAATATTATAAAATATTTACAAATTTATTGTTTTATTCTTTGATTGATTTAAT